AGGTCGAAAGACAGCATCAGACGATTTTGCAGTATTTGTCTAAGTTCGTTGACGAAAATCAAAGGAATTGGGATCGTTGGGTTTCGATGTTTCTTTTTGCTTACAGATCTTCTAAGCATGAGGCTACGGGGGTTACTCCTGCTGAAGTGTATTTCGGGCGTGATTTGAGTCTGCCATTAGATTTGTTACGGGGCTCTCCGCCGAATTATTGTTCAGGTTCTTCAGAGGATTATATTCGTGAGTTAGAGTCGAAATTGGAGGAGGTTCATCAGGATGTTATGGAGCGTTTAGAGATGAAGTCGAACAAAGCAAAAATGCGGTATGATTTAAAAGCTAGACACGTTCTTTTTAACGTTGGGCAGAAAGTCTGGTTCTTTAATCCTCGCAGGAACAAAGGAAAAGCCCCTAAGTTGCAGAAGAATTGGGAAAGGCCTTACGTAGTTGTTAAGAAATTAAGTGACGTAGTATATTGTATTCGTCGCTCAGATAGACACAGGAATAGGGTCGTACACGCTGACAGGCTAGCTTTGTTTTACGAGAGGTGGAAACACACGTCGGAGCCCTGTGAGAATTAGTGGGTGTTTGTTTTTTTTGTTTAAGATGTTACGGATATTTGTTTTTGTTGTTGTGGTAATTGAGCTTGGTTACTCGTTTTCTTTTCTTTAATTCCAGCGTTTACTCTGTTGCTACCCCGAATCTTTCCGTTTTGTCGTTGGACGTCGGGGGATTTTTGCTTCGCATCGAGTCGTAGCGAGATCTTTGTTTTTTGATCGCCGTGTTAAAAGTCCGCCTTATTCACGGTTTTGAGCGTGGTTTTCCGTGGGTCTTGGGGCAAATGCCGAGGCGGGGACCTGGAGTGTCCTTTTGGACGATGGGTCCACGTGAGTTTCCCCCCCCCCTCTTGTCCGAAGTCGGAAGAATTTTATGGACGAAATTGCTCCAGAAGGGATTCTCGGTCAAGAGTTTCTCCGGTCAACTGGCTCATTTATTCCGGGACAGCAGTCTGGAAGAGAGCGGGAAGGTTGACTTCTGTTGGATCATCGGGACGATGATCTAGAAGAGAGAGGGGACAGTGTTGCGAGATGCGGCGCGTGTCGTTCACGCGATATACGAAGATGTACGTCGAACGATCGATCGCTCTAGAGGCTTTTGTTCGAGTAGCAACGGGGTTGTTTACGGCGAGGTTCAAGCGAGAAGTTGGAAGCCGGACTCGGAATCGGCAAGAGGCTGGACCAACGGCTCGGGATTTCCTCGCGTATTTACCGCGGCCTTTGTAACGCGTTCGTGAATAAAGCTCTTGTGTGATATACGCGGTGTTACTTTCTTTCCACGAAGCGCATCTACACGGCCGGAACGCGACAAAACGCGGTCGTGAGCGCAACAATATGTATACACATATATACTTCAAACTAATTTTTTTTCCTCCATATAGGATGCTGGATTTGCATCACATATATATGAAGGACCCCGTATACCCCTTAACTAATTTTAAAATATTGCGAAAAAATAATAATTTTGATGTGTGAAACGCTTCAACAATTTAAAAATATTTAACTGAACAATGGTTTTTAGAAGCAGACACAGATATAAAGGTGCAAATTTGACTTTGTTTATTATAAAAGTAATGTAGAACGTTTTCGACCTGTGGTTTAGGTCATTTTCAATACAATCTAGAAGGGTAATAATTATATAATATATAAAAAAAGCGCAAGTTTTATAAAAAAGGTCTAGTTTAACCTTTACGCTGCCGGAGCGTCTATGTATAGACGCTGTTGAGCAGCCTATCAAAACATGCATAAACTTCAACAAGAAGTATATATAAATACGTATAAGTACTTATATATAGTATATGTACACACATACACTCCCTCCTCCACACACACATACATACGCGCGCGCAAGCGCAGACATATTTTGCCTTTTAATGTTACATGCTCAGTATTTTACAATTGACTAAGGACTCGGTACACATTATAATCCTATGCTTAGTTTCGATTTCTCAAAAATAATTAAAAAAAAGAAAAAAAAATTCAAAAAAAATTTAAAAATTTAAAAATAAATTAAAAAATAAACAAAAAAAACATGATAAAAACTAAACTAAACTAAACAAGAACAAAAAAAGATTGGAGCCACAATATCTATCTACGTCTCTGCCATTGGCGGGGTAACGCTGAAGGAGAGTCATACAGCCCTAAAAATTTACTGCACTCAAAAACTAACTTTACTATCGTTTTTAGTGACCTCAAAAACTTAAAAAAACGGATTTTTAAACAAAATAAAATTTTTTAATTTTCTCCGGTCCAATACGCTGCCGGAGGGTCTATATATAGACCCTACCTATGATCGCAACTTTATATAAGTTATATAAAAGATACAACCACAAAATTTGGGAATTTTCTAAGAGACATAATGCTCTTCAAATCCCGGTAGCGTAAAGGTTAATAGACTTACAATGAGTGTTGGTAATAAACGCTGGTGTCGACAGACAATAAATGTTATAGTGAGGCCGCAACGTACAAGTAAGAACTGACAAACTGGCGGCTGCACAGTGTGTAAAGAATTTATATACAAAATTCAAAATTATGACAACCGTTGTGTACAAGTTATCCGGAGTTATCAACAAGCGGTAAGTAAACTTTGTCTAGGTTTTCCGTGTCGCTATGTAAATTAAGACTGTGGATTTGGTTCTTGATATGTAACGTTTCAGAGATCAGGCGTTTATGATAAGATCTCTCAGTATCTACGATTTTAACACAATCCCACTTAAAATCATGAGAATAGTCGTTTCGGTGGTCAGTGATCACAGATCTCTGGGTAGTATTTCTGTTAATATGGTTCTTATGTTCTTTGATTCTAGTTATTAACATACGGCTAGTTTGTCCAACATAAGAAGCATCGCAATCGCGGCAGTTTATTTTATATACAACGGAAGAACGAGATGGTGGAGGTAGATCTTTGTGCACTTTAATGTATGCAGGAAGCTTGTCAAGACTAAAGAAGGCAATGTGGAAGTTGGTATCTTTTGGAAGAGCCCTGGAGTTTTTCAGAAAATTTTTTTCAACGTAAGGCATCACAAACCAACCATTTGAAGGATTGTCACTAGTATCAGTAGTCAAAAAGGTTACTGTTGTGTCTTCTTGTATTTTGTTGGAAGGGTCGTAAAGAACCACGAGTAAAAACTAAATTATTTATTGCTGATCAAGTACATGTCTTTTGTTCTGTGGCAAGAGCCTCACTGACTAACGCGCAACCTCTCTGGCCGTGCGGTGGTCTACTAGAGGGCGCGTCTGAAAGGCATACAGCGTACAATGAGTTAGATCCGATTACATATATAACATTTTCTCCCCCCTTTACAGAAGTGCACATAAATACAATACATTGGTGTTCAGGGTACAGAGATAGTATTGTTTTTTTTTTTTTTTAAGTGGGAGAAAATCGTTGAACTGGTTTCCTTTCGCGAGCGGATCTTCGTAGAGCTGGAGCACACTCTGTGGTGTGACTTTGGGTTGTATTTGATGCCGCAGGCTTTTGCGAAGCTGATACCGTAGGCTCCGAGGCTGGTGCACTTAATATCGTAGGTTCTCTTGTCGATTCGTTATCTGGTTGCCGTGCGGGGGTACGCCTTTTTTGCGACAAAGAAATTTGCGGTGAGCCCACTTGGCCTTGTGGAGCGACCGGTACCTTCAGACTCTTGTCATAAAAACGGATACGTCGAGCTGACTCCGGCGTGACTCTGCTTGGACCCAGAGACTGTCCAACGATCCGTTGCGAGTCGCTTGTTCCAAAAGCTCAAATTTGGTCGACGTGCTCTGCCTTGGTAATCAATTTTATAGTGGAGGCATCCCAGGTGTGTGACAATAGTACCCGGGATCCACTTATCCATTCGGGCATTACCTAACAAAAAATAGACCTTTTGCAAAGGTTGAAAAGAGCGGGTCGGCGTTTGACTTTCTTCCTGCCGTGCTTTAGAGAGTTGCATTTACCTTTCTTCTGGTCGTACCAAAAGACGAGTGCGAATGTTCCGTCCTAGGAACTGCTGAGCCGGAGGTAGGCTCGTCGTCGTATGTGGCGCTTTCCGGTATTGGTGCAAAAACTCATTCACATCACGCTGCAAAGTACTTGGCGTGGTTTCCATTTTTTGTAGAGAGTCTTTGACGGTTTGAACGTATCGTTCCGCTTGTCCATTTGTGGAGGGATGATACGGGGCCGATAGTTTGTGGTATCTGACTCCACTTGATTAGAGAAAAGTTTTGAATTCAGAAGAGACGAACTGCCTGCCGTTTTCTGACACCACTGTTACTGGTGCGCCGTACGTGGCGAAGAGCTCGTCGAGAATAGTGATAGTTGCGCAGCTGGTCGTAGAACGCGTTGCTTTAACTTTGACCCATTTGCTGAAGGCGTCGACTACAATAAGAAGCATCATACTTGCGACCGGCCCGGCGTAATCGATATGGATGCGCTCCCAAGGGCTTTTCGGGTACTCCCAATGATGGTTCTGACACTTAGGAGGGGCATGTGCATGCTTAGCGCACTCGGTGCATGACTTGGCGGTGCGTTCTATATCTGCATCTATCCCCGGCCAGTAGACTAATGAACGAGCCATACCTTTCATTTTAACAATTCCTGTGTGTGCCGTGTGGAGGTCGTTAAGAATGGTTTGCCGGAGGGTAGGTGGTATGACAATGTTCATAAACTAAGCAGTTTGAANATATACTGTAGTTTGCCTCCGGTGCTTTGTACCCGGCACGTGCTAAGCTTTTACCAGTGGCTAGCAATAGAAAAATTTTATTCAGATGTGGATCTTTCTGCGTTTCCTGTGCGATGTGATCAGCGCGTATGGGGAGCTGTTGGACTTGACATATTATGAATTGGTCGAATTCATCTTCTATCCTAATGTCTTTTCTCTCACCAACGGAGATTTTGTAGACAGTATCTGCGGTTGTAGGTAGAGGCAGGCGAGAGCAGTAGTCGGCATTTGCATTCGCTTCTGTAGTTTTAAAAATTACATCATAGTCGAAGTGGGCTAGATAATCAGCGTAATTTGCCATACGATTTATACATAAAACCGGTAATGACTTCTCGGGGTGCAAAATTTGCGTTAACGGTTTGTGATCGGTAATGAGCGTAAAATGTCTGGCGTACAGGTAATAGAAAAATTTTTGTATTGGCCAGACAATAGCAAGGGCTTCTTTATCGATTTGCGGGTATCGTTGTTCGGTGGCCGACATCGTGCGGCTTGCGTACGCAATCGGACGTTTCTCCCCGTTGCTCAAGCGGTGTGATAGTACTGCGCCAAGATCTGTTTTGCTGGCATCCGTGGCGAGTAGCAAGGGAAGTGACGGGTCGTATGGTATCAACACTTGTGGTGATATCAAGATGTGCTTAAGTTCGGTATAGGCTCGATCAGCAGCTGGCGTCCACTTAAATGGTTCGGTAAGAAGCATGTCTCGAAGCGGACGGGCTTTCGTAGCCAGGTCTGGAATGAAAGAATTGTAGTAAGTGGCTTTACCAAAAAATAGTTGTAGATCTTCTGGGGTCGAGGGTTTAGGAGCGTCACGGATTGCTTGGATGTGCGTGTCGGACTTATGTACGCCTCGCTCATCGATTTTGTGACCCAAAAACTCAATGGCTGTAGCCGCGAAGGTACACTTTTCGCGGTTGAGGTGTAGGCCGTGTTGTCTTAGGCGTTCTAGGACTGCATCAAGCACAAGGATCATCTCGTCGAATGTATCCGCAAACACGATAATGTCGTCGAAAAAATTTAAAACGTTTTTTAGGTCGTGGATGATGGTTTCTAATCTTCGCTGCCAGATCGCGGGTATGTTGGCTGCCCCATAGACGGCTCGTGTCGGCCGAATCAACCCGTGTGTGGGGGTGTTTAACGTCAGGGCATGGCTAAACTTCTCGTCGACTGGCAAATGTGTATATGCGTCAGTGATGTCCAAATGACTGAATACTCTTGCTCCTCTCATTTTGTTAAACAGATGCTCCGGTTTCAGAATGGGATGTTCGTCGACGATCAAACAAGGATTCAGGGTAGGTTTGTAATTTCCTGTGATGCGGAGTTGACCGTTCTTTTTTGTTACTACATGCGTTGTAGAAGCCCATTCTGAGTACTCGACTTTGACGTAATGACCTGATGCGATTTTTGCATCGATTTCTTTGGCATACTTATCTCGTAATGCGTGAGGAACGTCTCGTGCACGAGCAAAAACAGGCGACGCTCCTGGCTTAAGATGCATTTTAGCAGGAGGTCCCGTGAGTTTCCCGGCCGTTTTGCTGAAAATACTATCAAACTTAGCTAGTAATTGCTCTAAGTGAGCGCTTTGCTCCGGGAGCAGACGTGAGGATGATGCTTTGAGGTTATTGATTGCCTCCGGACTGAATGTTTGAGTCCAATTTATATCATGAACAAACTGACCAATCCATTCAAGGCCAAATAGGGAATCGTACTCTTCATCGACGATGTAAACATATAGTTCGCGTGTTGCGTTGCCCAGTGTAACGTTGACTAAGAGCCGTCCGATGCACTTAACGGGGTGACGTGAGTAGCTAACAAATTGCCTGTCTGTCGGCTGCAACTTGCACGAACCTAGCTTGATGGCGTGTGTCTTTTTGCTAATAATACCTGTAGGTGCTCCGGAGTCGAGTTCCATCATTACATTCTGGTTATTAATTTGCACTTCGAGTATTTTTTTTTGACTGTTTTTGATTGCCTTAATATCGTTGAGTTTGTTTAGATGTATCACCGTGTCGACTTGCTCCGCCGGTACTTGTGTTTTTTCGAGGTTAGAATTTGTGGTCGTATTGCTTGATCTGCAGACTCGAGCGAGATGTCCTTTCTTTTTACACTTGTGGCACTCGGTGTCACGGTGCGGGCACTCACTGCGCATGTGCTGTGCTCCACAGCCATTGCACGAGCGCTGCTTTTTTTGATCGTGTGATTTGGTCTTGTGTGGTCCGCTGTGTGACACGCTGCGAGATGCTTGAGATTGTCTGCGGCCATGTGAAAGCGATCGGCGGTTGGCTTGGCGCTTGTCTNGTTTTGTCGGTAAAGTTGACGACATCAACGCGTGCGCAGGTTCTAGCGCCGTTGGTTGGTTGCTGTTTTTCATGGCGTCCGATGTGTGGCGCGTTGCCTCCAATGCGTGTGCGATTTCATAAGCGGCCTTGAACGTGTCTGGTTTTTTCGCGATAATTTTGTCACACATCTCATGGCTCTCGAGACCATGTAAGAGCTGCTCAATCAGCATTTGGTCGAGAAATTCCCCATACTTACAATGCGTGGCTCCTTGTCTTAGACGTAGTGCATAACTAACAATCGCTTCTCCCTTCTGCTGTCTGATTAATCGGAACTTAACGCTCTCTGCATATTTATTTTTTGCGCTGTCGAAATGGCCGGTGAGCGTCGTACGTATTGTAAGTCTTCGGGCTTGCGCGGTGTTATGAGAAATTCGAGCGCATCATTCAATTCAGTACCCATATACACCAGTGCATAATTCGCGTATTGCTCTTCGGGTATTTTACTGAGTTGTAGCGCCCACTCGAAGCGCTTAAAATATTCGTCCACGGATGTTTGTTCCGACAGGCAAAATTCTTTACAGGAAAATGGCGGCGGCTTTGAGCGGTTATGTAACACCGATTCATCGATGTTCGTTGAGTTTGCTATATTAGCTGCACTCGGAATTGANGCTCTGATAGCGTTTGTGAACATGCTCGTCATCGCCTCAAGCAGCGCTGGAGATATTTCCGTTGTCATTCTTGATATGTTGAATAGTTTGCTGCACACACTTCTCACTAGACACAGGAAGGGTTAATCGAGAAACTGGCACTTCTGACACCACTGTTGTGTCTTCTTGTATTTTGTTGGAAGGTTTGTAAAGAATCACGAGTAAAAACTAAATTATTTATTGCTGACCAAGTACATGTTTTTTGTTCTGTGGCAAGAGCCTCACTGACTAACGCGCAACCTCTCTGGCTGTGCGGTGGTCTACTAGAGGGCGCGTCTGAAAGGCATACAGCGTACAATGAGTTAGATCCGATTACATATATAACAGTTACCTACCTTCTCCGGAAGATACCTCAATTATTTCTCCATCAGCCAAAAAAGAGACACTGTCATAAGTTTGGTTGATAGAGCGTTCTTCTTATCACATCCGACTTTCTACACAAAAAATTTTGACGTGGTTCTAAAAATCCTTATTGACAATAATGTTACGTCCTGGCCCCTGAAAACGGTCGGGCATGAGCGGAGCGTAACACTAGTCGAATTTTTCTTATCTCTTGACACGCACACTTGGAGAAACGGTCGTGTGTGCGTGCGAGAGTTAAGCGATCTTTCGGGTCCGGCGGACGGGTCAACGGTCGTGTGCCGCTCTTACTCCGTCGCTCTTTGGACTTCGCTCGTGTGTCTTTTTTTAAGGCCTGAGACGCAAATCTCAATTGCCTGGGACGAGACTGTGCGATCTGTTTAAAGGTGCGGGATGGTGGGCAAGAGGTCAATTAATAATGTTTAGACAATATTTATGCTCAAATGTATATATTTGTTCGTCATAATTTTATATGTAGTTATTTGTTTATAATTGACATATTTTATGTGTAGTTATTTTATTTACAGTAACATAGTTTATGATGATTCAGATTTACATAGTTATACATTTTTAATTTGTTTGTATTGCGAACTCAGTCCAGTTCAACTTCTATTATTTCCGTTATCTTACAAGAAGTAGGGGGAAAAAATTTATAAAAATCTCTCACAGGGACTAACCTGTGTTCTGAAAGGAGGGGAAATTTAACCGTGAGGAGAGCATCTGGAGAGTAGGTTGAGATTATTCGGTGGAGTTCGGGGGGATCGAGGTTTTCAGGATCGACTATATACGCGGTGGAGGTAGGGGTGGTGATTTTATAGGCAGAAGCGAGTGCTAGGAAATGGAGAGGACGGGGGAAGGTGCGTGGACGA